CTTCCCAGATTGTGACGTAGACATGTGGGGGCGTGTTAGAACGAGTCATTTTTGGTAGGCGTGGTTAACTCTTACCTTTTATAAAGAATATCTCTTTTGGTTTTGAGACTTTTGCAACTTTACAGATCTTCTTTATGCACCAAGAGCTTGTAACACTCCAAAGAGAAAGGAACATTTTAAATCGCGTCATATGACCCCTTTAAGTCAAACAACCACATGTAGTACATACAATCTGATTTTTACAAACCTGATCCGATTGGAAATGGGAATTTAAAGTATTAAAGCTATGCTGGAACAGCATCTCATTCTGTCCTATAATAAATTTATTTATATATTATATGCCCTAGAATATATTTATTTGTATTTATTTAAAATATATTTAAAATGCAGTCACTTCATACTAAGTACAGTTCAAATTTATTAACATATTTTCTGACATATAACTGATACTTATACTTACTGATATAAAATGTATAATTAAACTTTATTTCGAAATACTACTTGTACACATTTCTTAATATTAAGCCTAAAAATTTGTTTTAATGTCACTATTGATGAGGATTGCATGATCTTTAAATATCTTGCATTTAAAGACTGATATTATTCAAAGTGTATGCTTGCAATAGTTCCAATGTAGCACAATCAAATATACTTAAGTATGTTTTTAGTTGGACTTCAGCACTACTTCCACACAATTTAAGTCTGTTAAATTGGAACAACTAATTTTGAACTTAAGTATACTGGTTTAGTATATTAAAAGTACAACTGCAGGGTATTTAAGCTTTAGCCCTTTTCCTATACCAACTGTATGCGTGTGTGTGTGTTAGACCAGTTTAAGTGTTTATGTAGTATGTTGGACTAGTTTAAGTGTTTATGTAGTTAATAAAGTCTTACTTGTATCACACTTGATGTTGTTCATTGTTTGCTCATAACTGGAGTCCCTTAATCATGCAGATTTATGCTACAAGCTCTGTGTAGAGTTGTACAGTAAGAAAGTTATTTCCCTTAACCAGGAAATTAACGTTCTTAGAATTGACAGACAGTTGACCCTGAGAGGTCAAGTAAATATCTACAGCGGATCTAAATATTTATAATTAATTATAACTAATTATGATTAATTATTCATATTTCCCCCTGAGCTGATTCGCTACAATATTTTAATACTATTTTAAAAAAATGTTCAATGACAAAATATTTGTCTTTTAATTACAAAAAGTAAAACAATGCAGTTGTATTTAGAAATATTTAAACTAATCTAGGGCTGTAACTAATGATTATTTTGGTAATCAAGTAATCTACTGATTATTTTGACAACTGAGTAATCTGATATTTTTTAGTAACAAACAGACCTAAGTGAAAACCAAGCTTTAGTATGACTATTTATATATAAACTAACGATGAGGCAATAATAATTGGCTCAAATAAAATATCAAAACCAAGAAATTACATGATTGTATTGAACAACACTGTTAAAATACATAATGTAATATGCCTATACATAATATGAACATAACCAACTTAAGTACATTATGTATTAAAACAAACCTGCAGAGGGCGCCAACGGCCTGGTGACGTTTCACTTTACAGCGTGATTAAACGATGTTTAAATCCATTTAATTTTAATGTCTGGCCACATGCAGAAACATTTATTTTGAAATCGCGATGTACAATACATGGCATATTTAGAGATGAATGCAATTCAAATTCACAGCATATGATGAGGAAGAGTTTAGCCCCTTTCACACTTACAGTCTTTACTGGTAAAATACAAGCAAGTTACCATTAATAGAACATTTGTGAACAAGACCTTTTCAAAAATCCCGGTAAATTTGTCCTGGCAATCATGTTGTTCTTATGGAGATGACATGATTACTCTGAGCTGTTTACAAAGCTCCGCTGCTTTATAATTAGCTTTTCTATGTAAATATGACGCTAGATGGACATCTGTGAACATTGCGCCTCGCAGCTTTTTGTCGCGCTTCTTCATCATCAGGGCTGCGACTCTGCAGTTGGATACTAATGCGCGTCTCGTGTTTATAAGAGCAAAACATTCTGATTGGCTAGTAATGTTAGTTTGGATGAGAGTGAAAGCTGTGCTCCTCTCATACCATTGGTAGGTGAACTCATGAACTCGAAAGTGATATCAATCAACAAGATTTGTTTTTTAAATGTAGGACAACCGTAGCCAAACGCTGCATGCCGGAGATCCGGCACGGTGCCTGGAGAACTTTAAGCCCTGGTACCATATTCCGTTCTGTTGCCGCTGAAGTTCCTAGCATTCACCCGAAGCTTTGTTTTCATGTGTTTTGTTGAACATAACAGTTCCATTGAACGATAAATGTGTTTTAACAATGTCGTTGAACCGAATGTACGAAGGAAACTGTTCAAATAACCACAGCATTAACAACAACCTTGAAATAAGAGTGCAAGTTTGATCTGATAATCAGATGCATGAAAGTAGCATTTGTTGCTATAGCAAACGGGTGCGTTTTCTTTCAGAATCATTATTCGCTGATGGAGAGGAAAAGTTAAATAGCTACTATAGCATTTTATTTTATGAA